ACTGTAGTTCTTTAGCCTGTGGAATAAAACAAAGTGGAACCGGTGGGCTTCGCTTGCGGTCTTCCTCAGCCACATATACTTGAGTGAGACGATCTAACGGCTGCCGCTTGAAACGTTCACTCGGCAAACTTATAGCACAATCAATACCGAACAAAAATATAAACTTGTAATATTTCCAAGTGACAATACATTTTCTATTGTTAATAATAAACAATGTTCAAATTCAGAACATGATGGGTTAATTATTGTACAAAGTGGCAGTAAAAAGTATCCGCCAATGGTTTTCAAAGAAGGTATCAGATGAACGTGCAGTATTTAAAAAAAATGTGAAAGTTATCTATTGTCTGTTTTTCTCTCTACTTTAGGTACAATGGCTGAATTACATGAAGCACAAAAACTATTAGGAAAAGCCATTAATACAGATATTAAATTTGATTATGATCCAGAACAAGAAAATAAAATGAGAACAAAAACAACAACAGTTGTTAAATCACAATCTAGTAAGAATATTGATTCCATTCTTCACTGGTCAAAGCGTGTTATCTGTGATATTTTTCTCCTATCTTTACTTTTAGAAGAACCAACAATTACAAGTTTATTAGACATTCCATTCGGAGGTTTGAGTAAGTAAATTCTTATTCTACTCTGTGAATTTTTTGTTTACGATTTCAATTCTTTCCAGGAAAAGCATCAAAAAATGTAACTATTAATTCACAATCGAAAAATGTACATAGTACATTAGGTATGAGCAAAAAAGGTTTTTGTTTATAGCATGGCTGTTTTATTTTACTTTTACGTGGCTATCTCTCCCGCAATGTGCTACGGGACTGACTTCGGAATTCCGATTTGACACTGAGAATGAATTTTGGGGGCAAAATGTGTGCTACATCTTGTCTGCAAGATTGAAATACTGAGACGCGGAACTGCTAAGCAAAGGTGTTCAAATTTCGGCAATCGCCTCAGGAAAGCATTTTGAAAGTGTGCAAACAAAACTTGTTCAGCATCAAATTTCGAAGTTCCTCAGAGCTTTTTCCAAATTTCAGAGTTTTGCTCCAAAATGCTTGCTTTGAGCTAAAGTAGCCGTAGGTGCACGTAACGCAAAGATGAAGTGAAATTTTCTTTGACTTTATTATACATTAAATATATCAAACATAAAAAATTTCAGTTGATATTTGCATTACGTGCCCCTTACTTATAGCTGTAAAATTCCATCGAGAAGGTGCAAGTGAAATTTCTGCACTAAACTTCATTCGGAAACAATGAACACGTTTTCTCCTGATACAATTTAATTCCTCTATCGAAGTACGCTGGAATCAACTCGTCGTATAAAAAGATAAAGTTTTTATTGAACTTTAAAAAATGGGGCAAAAAACCCCCAAAAAAAGATTGAAAAATTTTGTATCAAGAACTAAAAGTTCGGGATTCGAACTTTTTTGGGAGTATCCTCTACAAGCTGGTAAAAAACTAGGTGGGGGACCCCCTCCTTAAGCGATCTTTCATTTAAAACGCTACTTTTCTTCCATAAAAAGTGAATTTACTATTTACTTTGAGGTGCTGATGATAATCTTCATTATTTAAAACAATCAACTAATAATTATGATAGTGATGATTGTGAAGATCTAAGATCACCACCACAACAACAACATAGCAAACGTACAAAAAAAACAAATACAAAATCTAAACGTCAATGTACATCATCGTCCAAAAAGTCTACCTCACCAAATACAAGCATATCAACTCCATCATCTATGTTTTTGCTTGATACACAACAATTGGAATATGAGAAGGATGACGATAGTGATTATGAAAATAAACCACCACCACGAAAACAATCAAATCAAACAACACCATCTTCATCATCAATATCAATTCTTCGAACACCAAAACCATTAACTGGTAGAAAAATTCTTAGTACAAATTATGATAATTATGAGGATAATGAACAACCATCACAAAAAGAACTCGTATGTTTATTAAAACAATCATTATTAAGTAATACAAAAATCGAAGATAAATATTTAAAACAAATATTGATCGGACAAGAAAGACAAGAAAATATGATTAAAATGTTATTTGAAAATCAAAAAAAAATACAAAAAGCATTATGCAAAAAAAAGGTAATAAGAGTCGCTTTCTAAGAAAGTTAGACAGATGTTGGGGAAAAAGTCTCATTTAGGGCTGATCTCTCCTTGTGAGTACAGCGTAATTATGAACAACCTAGAAAATATTACGATCTGAAACCTTTTTTCGTAAGTTACCAGAGCCACATGGTTCAAAAGTGATCCAGAGTGAAAATTTAAAGACGTTTTCTAGTAAAATCATGCACAAATTAATGGTGTATTTTTACATACCAGCACTGTTAAAGACTGCCTGTTACGGAACGTTCTTTTTACATAATATTACATACTTTTATATTTATTTCTTCCCGTTTAGATATATATACCATTAGAAGAACCCAATGTAGAACAACCAGTTGAAGAAAAAAAATTTCAGACAGTAATGGTACGTTCAAACAGCTTTAAACAAAGTGAAGAAAAACATGTGAAGAAAAACTCTTTGAAGAAAAATGTTTTTCATGCTCTTTTTTGTAGTAATCGACTAATCGTAAGACTTGTTTTCATTTTTCAGATATATAAAAATCCCAATGATGGCCATGATGTTGATTTATTAACAATAACTGGTGTTAGACAAAAGATGAATTTATATGTAACATCATTAATTGATATTGTTTTTACGAAACAAGAATTATTGGAACTTGATGCAACAAAAATCAAATTTAATGATGGTTATAAATTAATACAAGGTTCGACTAAGAACTTTTTTAGCTTATTTGTTTAACGCACAAATAATCTCATATATTGCTAATCACATCTTCCTTTTTTAGAAGCTGTACGAAATAAATTTCGATTATTGGATGATATTTTTAAAACTGAATGGTGTAATTTACATGAAACATTTTTAAACAAACGTCGGGATATTAAGAAAGGTTTAAAAAAACAACAGGCAACAGTTCAAACGAATCCTTCAACACAAGCTTAAAATTTAATATCTTTCTTTTTATAAGAACATGTGCATTAAATGACTGAAGTGATCTGGACTAATTTATTTTTTCTATTTTTGCTTTTCTTATATAACTCATGTGATAAAACTTCTCTTTTACTTTTCTTATTTCTCCATTCTTTTGCTTATTATACGCTCTGAACATGTGAAAAATACAAAAATTAGTAAATAATAAACTAGATTCGAAACAGTAACACAGAATTCAAATTCAACAATACGGCAAAAAGAAGGATGGGGTTGGCATTCGATCCACTATCGTGCGTTCATTAAGGCGATAATATAACATTAATTTCCTGACGGGATCACGGCAATCCCGCGGGATCCCGATAGTTTTTGAGCGGGATCCCGAACAGGATCTCGCGGGATCCCGACGGGAAATTGCCGGGATGAAAGACATGGGTGCTTTTTCATACACCGTTCAATAGACAATTGAATGGTGATTCCGAATATCATGTCCCGGTTCTTCAAAACCTTAGTCGATAAATGGAATTTAATCTTGTCTATAACAGCAGAAACTTTATATCCGTTACAGTCCTCTAGCAAATTCTTTGTATAAGTTCAAAATTTCTTGCTGCTAAAATACGATTCATAATACCGATAGATGGTAACAGTTTCTGTAGAAATGAAACATTATGTAATATAAGAAAAACCAATAAGGATCAAAGAATAGTAGCTTAGCTTTGAAACATGTTCAACTCCAAAATGGGATCGACTTGGAGCTAGACCAAATAATCATACTGCTGCTGTTTCTTTATCATCTTCCACACCCTCATCTCAACCTGTTCTCACTTCTACAAAGTCGAAGAAAAAACAAACAGTTAGTGCTAGAAAACGTGGACATTTATTGGAAGATGAAGACAATGATGATGTAGATTCACATTAGAGTGATAAATAAATATTTATTTATTTTCTTTCAAAAAAATTGGTAGTCATAACGGAGCGCATGTAAGGAATAGGGAGAATAAAAGCTAACACTAGAGTTAGAATAGTAAAAAGAGCAGCAATCTTGATTGCTTGAATTTATCGAGACGTTCGTTATGCATCAGCGTGGACTGCAAGGCCAGCATATCACTTCCCATTCTCTCAAAGGTGAGCAAACCTGAACACAATTTCGAACACCCTGTCTTTTTCCTTATGTCCGGATCGTAACGAAAAAGTGAGATGAAAGCTAAGTTTCCCAAAAAATGGCCTTATCGCAAGTTATCGCATCTCAAACTCTCAAATGATAAGCCCAAGGCAGATTTTAATGAATATTGGAAATTACATCAATAGTAAAGCTAGCAGTATAGTTCATATACTTCACATTGCCATCTTGATCAAAAGACAGAGGTGACCAGTAGGTAAAATCATGTCCTTTGGCACCATCTGGAGAACTTTGCCACTTGTTACCTTGCCACAAATATCCATAAACTTCATCTCCAGTAGTTTTAAACTGTAGAACGTTGAACTGTTGAGCATGACCTTCATTCCCTAGATTATTCATCGTTCTAAAAGGACCGAGAGGAGACGAAGAAGTATAGACGGTGACAGAGGACCCTTCTGCGCAGTAACAACAACACTGACCGAATACTGCATAGTAGATTCCATTGCGGTTGAACATTGCGGGGGCTTCGACAAAGGTCTCACCAAAATATCCACTATTAAACTCTTTACCTAGTGAACTGAGATAGTCATCGGACAGTTTCTCTACAGACATTAAATGGTTCGGATTGTAAATACTACCATCAATATGTGCAGTATAAATGATATAAGCATCCCCGTTATTATCCTGAAAGAGATTCAAATCTCCCGTATTTTCCCATGCTAGAGTAGTAACCATATCAGTGACCAGTTGAAAGGGACCTTGAGGTGTATCCGATATGGTCACAGCATACTGCGACTGAGAGACACCGGTACCTGTAGCTGGCAGAAAATTAAACCACATAATCCACTTCTTCGTCTTCGGGTTTGGTAAGACGCGAGGACTGAACAGTATTCCTTGGGTCTTCATTGAAGACATCTGAAAGGCGTATCCGCGAAATGTCCATGAGGAGAGATCTGTCGAAGTATAAAGACTAACATTATGATTGAGTTGGAAACCGCATCCACCTGTGTGCCATTCGGTACAACCTGATGGACCCGAAGGTTCTTTGCATAGGCCGTAACTTGCACCATAGTAGTAGTAGAGACCGTCATACAGAAAGATATTACCATCATGGGCATCCATTATATTTCCATCCATATCTCGACGCGGAATTATATTACTGATCGTCACTTTACGGCATGTGATGATCCTGACGACTGCAATTAAAAGCATAACGACGACAATGAGATATGTGCCCATTATTATGCTGCTAAATTTGAAAAAAAAATGAAAAGAAAATGATTATTTCTTGTGATCGTAGCGCGAGTATCTTCAGACGATTTCTCATTCTCTGTTGACGACTCTACATGAAACAGTGGTTACGGCGTAGTTTGATAAAATGCCTTTTTGTTCGTCTCAGCAAATTAAATTCTTATCAGTTCAGGCAAAATGCTTCAAACTTAGAGCTGATCACTGAGCGTTACAGGGCACGCAGTCCGACTGGGTGCACGTTTAATGTTCTTGCAGTAATATCGACCGATTCTTGTTCTATGGCTACTAACTACGATTTTTGCTGTTTTACGTCAGACCCAGTTTTTAACTGGTAAACTGGTACTCGGTCGGTCTGGCATCCAGTCCGACCGATACGCAATTAACTGAGAATGGCACATATCTCATCATTATGAACATCGTCAACGATCATATACACAAATTTCAGTCAGTCGAGTACCCAGTTAACTGGGACTGATGCATATCTACTGAGGATGAACTTTTCCACATTTTTTTCTTACCTGCAGTATTCGCTGATTTAATAATAACTGGTTCGCAGCCAGGCGAAGCAGTGTTTAAAACTTTTATAGGGGTTCGACGACGAATATGAAATTAAGAAAATTTTCTTCTACTTCTTACTACTTTTTCTGGTTTTTTCTCGACTTATCATTCTGCTGTTATCATCATAAACAAAAGTGATTCAGGTAAATTATTAGGCGATGTCACACCTTGGAGAAGAAAACTGATAAGAAGAATAAATAATTCTTTGCGTTTACCGTAGTAATGACAAGGTTTTCGACCGACGGAAGCCCGCAGAAGGGAGAGAGCAGGTGAGCCTGATTCCCGTACATGTTTCTGATCAGAGATATTCTGTTATACAAACTCAAGTTCAAGCGGCCTTATCTCCAACAATCAATAATAAAATCAACAACAACAACAACAACGTCAGTCGATCGAATCAAGGAAAAGTCTTAAAAGTAATGACTTTCAACAACACTGCCAGACGGTGGTGTTTAGTGAGCAAATGTTTCAAATAGATGTTTCATTTCAGAGCGAAAACATTTGAGATAAGATAAGGTCGCTTGAACTTGAGTTTGTATAATAGAATATCTCTGATCAGAAACATGTACGGAAACCAGGCTCACCCGCTCTCTGCGTTCTGCGAGCTTCCGTCGATCGTCGACCTTGTCATTACTGCTGTAAAGAAACACTTTATTTTGAAAGATCTCGTATCAAAAGTTTCTCTTTTTCACTCTTCCTTCATATAGAAAGCGCTACATAAGAGTCCACCGACATTAAGATGAATTATTTGTAGGATTTCGAAATATGAACTGTTTGATTAACCCTTTTTAAAAATTCCTTGTGCTTTTTTACTCAAACTGGAAAATCCTTCGCTAATTGAAAAACCAAAAAAGATGTTTCCCTAAACCAGACACGTTTAAGAAAAACCCTTCTGATTTTCACCAAATCTAGAGACCATCTAAAAAGATTTTCACCTTCGAGACCATCTAAAAAACACTTTTTAATTTTTTCGTCAAACAGAAAAACACTTTTGGTTTTTAAATACGCTTTTTACGGTTTAGGATGATAGAAAAGGCCTTACTTGCCAAGTACTTTCACGAAGTACTTAGCAATAAAAGCAAGTATTTTATCATTAAGAACTACGTCTGAAAGCAGATCGCAAGTGAGAAATTTTGAAAACACTTGCCAATTTTTCCAAGTTTAATCGATATTTATTTGTCAGTATTTTTCCAAGTACTTGCATCAAGTACGTTCTCTAGGGAAGACCGTTCTCTATTATTGTTTAGTATAAAAGCAGGTTTTCTTTTTTCTTTGCTCTGTTTGTTAATGATTAAATCATTGTCAGTGCATAAAAGTTGAATTTTGGAGGTAAAAAGTGAAGAAAAAAGGTGAAAGAGTAAAAATATCTCTAAAAGACATCAACAACCGTTACTGTTTGTTCTTTAAGTTCTTGTTCTTAAGGCGCAGAATACATGGTGGTCTCAGTATTTTGTATTTTTCTCGTGTTTCTTCAGGACTGTAAGATTAGTTTTTCTTTTAACAGATGCGCCGAGAAATACTGTACAAAACCATACTTAAACTTTAATTTCAGAACTTCAATCAGAGCTCAGAGAACTCAGTTCTTTTTGAATGTGCTCTTTCTGGTAGTCTGGAAAAGAAGTCTTTTAGAGCAGATGGTGTGCTGGAGAACGAAATTACAAAAATACGTTAAAAATTAACAGTCACACGTTTCCAACAATGTACCCAAGCAAGAAACATGATCGAAGTTTTGCTTTTGAAGTTAGGAAGATAAGAGAAACCTTTTCTGATCAAAACAAAACACATCCGATCGAAAAAGCTTTTGGTTTGATGAAGTTATGGGAGTTTTACTGAAAGCACCACTATAGCCAGAATTCAAAAAATTTATGAAAAAATACGTGAGAACAGATAAAAAAATGATTACTTTTCCATGGATTTTGATGTGGAAAATTTTGAAGTGTAGCTAAAAGATAGAGCGAAGTCACGGCTACATAATGGATAATGCAGGCCTTCTCACTATTAAAATGTTAACACAAGAAATCGTTTTTGGCTTTAAAAAGTTTTCATTTTTTTTGCCTTTCCTATAAGTTGGATAGTTTTCTTGATTGAAGCTCTGAAATTAAAGTTTATGTATGGTATTGTAGAGTGTTTCGCGGCGCATCTGTTAAAAGACACTAACCTCAGGGTCCTAAAGAAACACTAGAAAAATAGAAAATACTGAGACAGCCATTCATTCTGCACCATTGTTAACTATGGAACTCACCCACAAACACGATGTTCATTCCAATCAATTTTTGGTACATAGGCATGATTTCGAACAAAATGTAATCTTGTTGGAGTCCAAAAACCACGTTGAATTTTTTTTGTCCAAGGTAGCTCATAATTGAACGGATGATTCCCGGTCAGTCGAATTAGTTCTGGATCACGTTCGATCCAATTATCGGGCGTATTCAAATCACGCAAGTCAACAATTTTCGTCTCCCTATTCATCGTATATGATAGTTAAAAAAGAAGTGTCACTCTATACAAAATATTAGTCGTAAAAAGAGTGAGAATAGAATGCGCAGTCTCTTTTTATACTTTTGCGTTCTGTCACAAATACAGCGATAAGGCAAAACTTTTCATTTTACGGCTTATTCAAGCGTAACGCTGTGACATTTTTGACACAGTAATTTGAGCTTTCTCAAATACTGTAAGAGCTAGAAACTTCGTTCTTGTACCATTCGACGCCGCTCACCANATTCTATTTTTTGGTATAAAAATGAAGGTATGTGGTTAAAGACTCGAATTTTTAGAACCGTTTTTCGGCGCGTGACGCTGTGACAGAGAAAGGCCCTAAATTCGAAGTTCATCTCATTCGCTCGTTTGCTGCGAATTTAGAAGAGCTAATAAAAGCGCCTCAAGCAAAGTTTGTAGAGGAGTAAACAAGCTATTGATTGCTAAAAAAGAATCTTTCCAATGAGCGTTCCATTCCTCAATAATTGTGCTTTATCGTCGTGACGCTGTGCACACGTTTTTCCCAACAAAGTTTGGAGCACTAAACATTGTTCAAAGGATTTCATTTTCACATTGAACTTAGTTTTAGGCATCTAATATAGACTAACGTGAAAATAAAGCTGAAAGAATGTTTTCACTTTCTTAGAATTGTGTGAGAATCTTAAAACTTAAAACTTTATTAAAAGGCTTGTTTTGAGTCTAAACTTCAAAAGAAGTATACCATCTTGTAGAGAATCGAATTCTCTATCGATTAGTATGGCCTTCCATTTCTATTAGGAAAAGTGTCTAGGTGAGGAAATTGAAAATATAGTTTTCAAAAAATGTAAAACTGGATTTTTGGTGCCAAAATCTAACTTTTTTAAAAGAACAATATGAGATTCGTAATCAGCACCAAAAGCTGCATCTAGTGATATGCTCCTTTCAGTTCTACGCTAAAATAACTTTTTCAAAAACCTGATCAGCGAAGTGTCGAGTTACATGGACAAGCCGTATACATAGATTAAGCCAGCGAACAATGAAGAATAAGAATAAGTTAATAAGTCTTTTCAAGTAACTCAACGACAATACATGTTAGAAACTTGCGGTTTGAAGCAAGCGAAAAGGACACTTAAGGGTGAGGGGTTTTGACACATTAATAACAAAATAAAATATAGATCTACTATCCATTCCGAAATATAATGCAGTCGTCTGTTTTCAAATAACTCAAAGACAGCAAATGATAAAAACTTTTATCAATCGTAAGAGGACACTTGAAGCTATACTTTCACAAGCAAAATCTTCTTTCGGAAACATTCGAAAGATCAGATTTCTGTGAGACCTTTGGAAAATCAGTTGGAATTTGCAGAAAACGACACACTAATCTGACGTTTTTTTTTCGTAGATGGATAGTCCGAAGTGTCCTCTACAAAATAAGATCTAAGAAAAAGTTTGGTTTTCCATGGTTTGGGCGCTACGGACCTTGTTCTCAAACGCTTATGACTTCTTTGTCGTTAGGTTTAGACTGTCAGAAATGCATGAAAACATAGGTTGTCGACTATAATGAATCGTCTGGTAAAATTTGTTTGTCAAAAGTGTCAAAAACCTAGTGAACCTCCACCCTTAAGTGTCCTTTTCGATTGCTGCAAACCGCAAGTTCTTAACATGTATTGTCTTTGAGTTACTTGAAAACAACCGAGTGAGTGCATAAAATAAATGATCTTTCCAATATGTACAATAGATTAAACATAAAAACGTGACTTTAACGTGGAAACACAAGGTCAGGTGTTTTGTCAAAAAAGAACATTAGGAAGTAATAGAAAATGTGTGAAAATAAAAATATCGTTTTTTTGGTTACAGTCTGAGTCGAATCGATTCGAAGCCAAATTTGAAATTTCAGAAGGAACGTTGAATCGAATCTGACCGACTATAACTTTGGTCGAATCGAGTCCAATCCGAATGAAGATTTTATTATTCGTTTCGGACTCTTTTATACCCAATTCTTTCATGCAGAATTCAACGGCGACCATGAATATCTGCTTGCAGTATTTTTGCGTGTTCTGTCACAGAAGTTACAGGCAGTCTAATTCACTGGGAAAAGGTCCTAGGGGAAAAATGACATTTTTGTAAGAAAAACTTGCAACCAGAATATGCGAAAGAAAAATTTCAACGACACATCATTTTATCAGAATTTGATGCTCTATTGAATGACACAGAAAAACGTTTTCCGACTAATTTCCTAAAAACATTTTAGCGACAAAGCGTATTTTCCCCAAAATGACAAAACTGTGGTAACATATTTTCATGCGACTGGATAGAGCATTGAAAGCTGCATATTTCCGAATCACCTGGGACTAGTACCAGTTTTCTTTTCGCTGCAGATAAAAATAATGTAGTTGCAGAGTAGTTTTCACGATTTTTTCAAGTTGAAGAAGTTATTCTGAAAAAATATCAGCCTGAACCGGATTTTTCGCCAGACGCAGGAAGTCGAAAGATTTTTAGTGCATCTGACTGACTTTTATAGTTTCTAAGCCAAACCTCATTAGAGAAAACACGATTTTAGGGAACACGATTGTTGTAGCTGTCAGTCAGCAACCTTTTTCGGTCAAGACGCGGACTTTTTGAACCTTTATACCGATGTTTGTGATCAGCTGTTGTTTTCTGCTCTTGCAAGGGCAACATTGATATGCCTACCCACCACCTTCAACATTTTTTCTCCCAAAAAGTTTTAAAGCTACGCCTCAAAATCTGTATTGTACAGACAAAAGACGTCCTGATAAAATGAACATTCGTTTACATTTTTATTAAAAACTCTCTGATTTTTTAATCTCACTATAGCAAATGCAATTTTTCCTTCTTCTTTTTTCACCTTCTGTCCTACTGTAACGGATGTCAAAGCAGAAGAATTTTCTAAACAGCAACGTTATGATCAGCAGTATCTGGTTGAAACGTAGAATGGCCGTGTAGATAATCATAAAATTTATCAAGATGAATTTACGTCACCAACAAACACAGCTGCAGATAAAAATATTTGATTTCATGTGCAGCTGTAACTGTTGATGACATAAATTCATTTTAGTAATAAAAATTTTAATAACGAGTATATTCACCAATAACACCGGTGGTTTCGTTAGTTTTTTAGTTCTAGTTTGAGTAAAAAAGCACAAGGAATTTTTAAAAAGGGTTAATCAAACACTTCATATTTCGAAATCCTACAAATAATTCATCTTAATGTCGGTGGACTCTTATGTAGCGCTTTCTATATGAAGGAAGAGTGAAAAAGAGAAACTTCTGATACGAGATCTTTCAAAATAAAGTGTTTCTTAAGGTTATTGATGTACTGATTTCACCATGTTTTACCGGCTTTTTTATTAAAACGGCAAATTTTCTCGTGAAAATGTCAGTAATTTCTCGACATGAAAATTTGAAAAAAAACAAAGGTGCTCGGATAGGATAAAAATGAATGATAAAAATTTTAAGAATGTCTAGTTGCTGTCATCCCACAGCGCAACTTCCTGTACGGAAATTAAAAACATGATTACATGAAACTAACTGTAGAAATGTATCTAGAGCCTTATGGCATATTACATGTCCAAACTAAAAAGGCATCCATTGCAGAGAAATTTCACTTTTCCTAAATCAGAGGCAAAAAAGTCGGAATTCTGCCTGTACCTTTCAAAGTTCTCCATCAGAACACACTTTTTATGCAATAAAAACTACATGTTCGGAGTCAGCGTCGACAACTGAGTCGAATAATGTGATGTACCTTTTTATCCTATCCGAGCACTCTTATTTTCTTCGAATTTTCATGCCGAAAAATTACTGAGCTTTTCACCGGACAATGAAATCCAGCTGAAATTTTCGAAACATAGTATTATTTGGCTCAGTCGTCGACGTTGGCTTCGAATATGCTGTTTTTATTGCATAAAAAGTGTGTTCTGATGGAGAAAATTGAAAGGTACAGGCAGAATTCCAACTTTTTTGTCTCTGATTTAGGAAAAGTGAAATTTCTCTGCAATGGAGAGGAATTTCAAAAAAAGCGATACGAATTATTTTCGCACGTGAAACGACGATTCGAATGGAGTATGAATGTAAGTTCTATCTCTTATTATAAAAGACTAGATAGGTTTGCGAAATTAGTCAGTACTAACGAAGCTATATTGTAGCATGATCTTTTACTTTGGCCCAGAATTGGAACCGGTCAAGCGCTCTTTACCGGTTCTCTTTCTTTTTGCGGACACGGATGTATACTTTTTTTCTGGTCGGCGTCCACTAAAAGAAAGAAAACCGGTAAAGACTGGTTGACCGGTTCCAACTCTGCTTTCTACATGTAATATGCTATAAGGCTCTATATAACATTTCTACAGTTAGTTTCACGTAATTATGTTTTTAATTTCCGTACAGGAAGATGCACTTTAGCATGACAGCAACTAGAAATTCTTAAAATTTTTATCATTCATTTTTATCAATCATTTTATCATTATTATGTTTAGTACGTCTAATAAGACAGACTTAAATTGCTGACCAATTTGGGCTCTGAAAGTAGCAAATATGGCCGCTTAAGTGGCAAAATATTGGACTTTTTCTGCCTCTGACCATTTCGGCTTTTCTCACTACAATCAATACAAACAGAGCTTGTACCAATATGAGAATAGGTTTCTCTATTGGAATCCCTTATATGTTCGAACAAAAACGGAAACTGTATGAAGTCAACTTTTCGTTTATAAAATGTGTGCAAAGTGTTTTATTTCAGAAGAGAAAAGTAAAAGACTGCGTGAAGAATACTGAGAAACTTCAAGACCGCTGCTTTCCAACTAAGAAAACAGTTTTTTCGGTTTTATTCTTTGAGCTTTTTTATACATGAAAAAATTAAGCTCGTCATTTTGTAGCGCTTGAAAAACTCTGTCTTCTAGAATGCTATCTACTTAGAAGTTAGAATCCTACAGCACAACTAGTTACATGAGAATTCTTTTGCTTTCATCATTTAGCCAGAAATCATCGTTTTAGCGTAGCACTTG